AAAGGGGAGAAAGATCCAGGGAACTTACAAAATTTCTGTTAATTTTTAAAATGTCAGTAATTTTAAGAACTCACTGTATTGGTTTTTTGATCCATATGAGAAATTTAAAGGGAAAAAGAAGATAACCTAGTGAGCAGAAATCTGAAATGTCTTAGTCATGGACACTGGAGAGATTATAGTTTTAATCAAAAGGGGAAGATGAAGTCCAGAATCTCTTAAGACTTATGCTTCTTAGTTTTTAAGAACTGGAAAGGATTCTAGGTATCACACTTCCAGTGATTCTCAATTCTGGCAGCACATTAGAATCAAGTTGGGAGTCAAACAAAGAAACATACAAAAATGCTTAGGCCCCACTCTAATGAATCTGATGCAATTCGCCTATAATTCAGCCTGTGTGTTATTTTTTAAAGCTCCTCAGGCAAGTCTAATAAGTAGCTAGGATTAAAAACCACTGACTTAGAGAGCAGAGTGGTGCAGCGCAAGCGTGCTGGGCCCATAAAAACCACTGACTTGGTCGAAAATCTTATTACAGAACAAAAATCTTAGCTGAGTGAGGTGGAGTGACTCATTCAGGGTCAACAAGTTAGATAGAAAGATAAAGACCATGAACTTGGAGCAGGCAAACCTGGATTTAAACCTTAATTTAATTACCCACTGCTTGTATGACCATGGGAGAACCTCTGAGACCTCATTTTTCATCTCTAAAATAAGGATACCTTATAAGGTTTATTGTAGGATAATTGATAATCTACTTCTATATTACATGTGGTACAATGCCTAGCACTTGATAGGTTCCCCCAAAATAGTAGTTACTATAGTGTTATTATTATAGAACCCAGGTTTCCTAATTACCAATCTGGGGCTTCCTAAAGCCCTATCACAAGTCTGGAGTAGAGTGGTAGCTAAGACCTGGACTTCTAAACTCACAGCTCCTTGCTTTATCCAGATCTTTAGAATTCGTGCAAGGGACTCAGCCCTCACAGCCCCCCAGCCTCCCCACCCCTGCTTTCACTGCCCGACTGGTCATTCTGTCCTTCCACAGTCGGGTCTAATTAGCATATTAATTCTTTATTATATAGAATGAGTTTGCTTAGTTAGGTCTACCTTTAGATTTGTTGAGAAGCTCTAAGGAATGTCTGTTTGCTGCTGCAGTTACATGTAACACTGCAAATACAAAGGCTCTTTTCCTTGACTACATTGGTGGGATTTAAAAATTCTGTGATGGCCTGGCCTGCATTGACTCAGGATTGAGCGTTAACCTAAGAACCAGGAGGTCACAGTTCAATTTCCAGTCAGAGCACATACTCAGGTTGTAGGCTTGATCCCCAGTGTGGGGCGTGCAGGAGGCAGTCGATCAATGATTCTCCCTTATCATTGATGTTTCTAACTCTCTCCCTCTCTGAAATCAATAAAAAATATTTTAAAAAATAAAAATTCTGATGAAGTCATCACCTATTTAGATGCTATGATTATTCTGTGGTGACTGTCTGCTAAGTAAATGGGCATAAAGGCTACTAAGAGTAGTGTCAAGAATGCTGGGGATTTATTTATATTCATTGTGTAAATGTAGAAAGCCTCTTTGATAGCATTTTCTGAGATTCAGGTGTATGCCACCAAGCAAGGCAACCGGCTGTACTATCTTCCTTAATAGATAGTGCTTGTTCTTTAATTAACAGCTCAAAGCACTTTGTTGTCTGGCCCTGATTTTCTAATCCCACTGAAATACAGTGATCTGGGCATAGCAATGATAACTCCATAGGAGAGCAAATTCCAAGTGCTAAGCTATTAATCAGGTAATGTGATAAGCTCTTGTAAGGCCCCAATCACCACTCTGGACGGAAAAGAAAACTTCCATGTAAAAAGATTCCAGATAGCTGGGAGTATAAAGAACTATAATTTCTGGTAATGGAAAAGGAGGAGCTTCCAACAATTCTAATTACAACTAAGCACCCACTTTGTTGAGCTGTGAGGTGACTAAGATCAGAGTCATGCTGATATTTGAGGCAAGAAGCAGCATAGAGGACCTATAAACTACTTGCATCTTGCTTTTCAAAGGAGCATCACAGATCACTCAACTGGTTTGCCAGAATTTACATACTATAAGCCTTTAAGTAGATTTTATTAGGTAGCCCCAAATTGAAGGCTTCCTAGACAATCAGCAGGGGTAAGATATATTTTAATGTAATCCCAACTGATTGGAAATAACCAGAAGGCTAGTAAATCTTTATTAATGCTCAATTTACCCACTTCCTCAAAAATTTTTAATAAAACCCATTCCTAGAAACCAAAATGAATGAGGTAGGCCTGTTTTAAGATGGTAAAATGAAAATAATTGCTCTTTCCTGGCTTCTGGGTGCTTTCCCACATGCTGGGACACAAAGTGATATTCCACTATGTATTCCACATGTACTATTATTTCACAGCAGACTCAAAATGTAACCTTATCCATATAGAACATCTATCAGTTGGAGTAAAAACTCTTGGCAAAACTGAGTTTTCTGGAGAGATGGTGCTGCCCTCTTAATCCACCAAATGAAAACTGCTAATTGAGAATGCAGTAAATCTCTGATAGCCACCCTTGGGGGTGGTAGGGGAAGTAACTGTGTTTCAGAAAGTTCTCTTTTGCTATATCTCTGACTTCTGGAAATCAGGGGATTTTGCTTCTAGGATAATGGGGTACTCAGTCACCATTTATCTTTAGAAGATTGGTTCACAGTCAGCTCCAGTTTGACCCATCACATTTTTAGACCAGAACTGATTTTGCCTAGTCCAGATCAGAGGGCTTAAGTTACTTACCCAAGATCTCATGGTGATTTAGTGGTGGATATCTGAGATATGAAAGCAGGACTGTGTCACTTCAGGGTGTGTACTGTACTGCCTGCTCCAATGAAAGTATAAAGCTCTATGTGCTACCTACCAACTTCCTCTTTTCCTAGTACATTTTTAGGGGTTTTTGCTTAGGTGAATAATTATTGTGGTGGCTACATTTTTAATGTCAAGAATCATATTTTTAGATCTAGATGAAACCTTGGAAGTATCTAGGTTAATGAAACACAGTATTCTCACTTCACAGACAAGGAAACTTAGGCCCAGGGAGGTTATACGACAAGCCCAAGATTTGGTGACAGAGCTGGGAGTAGAACACAATTCTCTTGAATTTTAACCTGGTAGACTATCCACTAATATATAATACCATTTTTTTGCACATTTGATGTATATTCACCTAGAAAAGTCTAGTGGTCAGTTGGATATATGTGTCTGAAGCTCAGAAGGTAAATATGGACTGAAAATATAGATTTGGAAATTGTCAGCACGTGGGGTAATTACTCCAGACTCTCTTGGTTTTCTTTCTAGACCTCTGACCTATCCTTTTGTACCCATCCATACATCCAACCATCCATTACTCTAGAAATATTTATTGAACACCTACTATATGTCAGATATTTTTCTAACTGCTAGGAATACATTAGTGGAAAAACAGACAAATATACCTACCTTTGTGAAGTTTACATTCTATAAATTAGATAGTTTGTTAAACGATAAGTGTTACGTAAAAAATAGAGAGGGTAAGTAGGATTGGGAGTGTGGTAGGGAGGGTTGCATTTTTAAGTAGGTTGTCAGAGTCACTGACAAAGAGACATTTGAACAAATACTTGAAGAAAGTGAGTTAGTAATGCAGCTATTTAGGGGAAGAGTATTTCAGGTAGAGGGAAGAGCCAGTTCAAAGATCCCGTAATAGAAGATTATCTGGTGTGTTTATGGAATAGCATAGGGGTCAATATAAATGTAACTGTGAGTGATGGGCAGGAGAGTAGTAGGAGACAAAGTCAAAGAGAGACTATGAGAGAGGGAGGAAAGATCATAAAGGGTTTTCTAATGCATTAAATTGACTTTAGCTTTTATTATGAGTAAAATAGGGAGCTATTAAAAGGTTTTGAGTAGAGGAGGGGCATGATCTGACTCAGGCTTTTAAAAGGACTACTCTGCTTAATCTCTTGATAATAGACTGTGAGGGGCAAGAGTGAAAGAGAAAAACAATAAGGAGGTTATTGCAATAGTTCAGAAAAATGTATAGTTGTATATATAAATGGGGTCATAGTAGTGGTTATTTTGAGGATAGTAGAATTCTAGATTTACCTATATAAATTTGAAGGTAGATCTGATAGAGTTTTCTAACAGATTAAATATGGTGTGTGAGGAAAATAAAGTAGGTAAGGATGACCTTTAAGTTTTAACCTGAGCCACTGAAAGGATGGAGCTGCCACTATCTGAGATGGAGAACGATACTAGTGGAAATGGTTTGAGGAGGAAGATTAGGAGTTTCATTTTGAACATATTAAGTTGAGATGTATACTTGACATCTAAGTGGAGATAATAGGTAGGCAGTTGAATATAAATTTGGGGTTCAGAGACAAGGTCTGAGCTAAACACATAATTTAGGGTCACTGGCATATAGATGGTTTTGCAGCCATGAGATTGGATGAGATGATCAAAGGTATGAGTGTAGCTAGAGAACAGTTTCAAGGACTGAGCCATGAGGCTCTCTCCAATGATAAAAAGGCAGGGAGAACAGAAGGACAGGCAAAGGAGACTGCAAAGAACAAATCAGTGTGGTAGGAGGGTGACCAATAGTTTTCCTGGAAGCCAAGTTAAGAAAGTGTATCAATGAGTAAGGAGTAATCAACTGCATCACATATGGCTCTTAGGTCAGTTAGGAAGAGAATTGAGAATTAACCCCTGGCTTTAGTATTGTTAGTTCACCAGTGCCTTTAAACAAGGGATATTTTGACAGAGGGGTGGAGAAAAAGTATAAATGAAAAAGACTTAAGAGAGAAGAGATAAATTGAAAAGATAAAAGTCTTTTGAGGACTTTGCTGCTAAGGGATGTACATAAGCAAACTATTCTTGCCCCTTTAAATTTTGAAATGTTGGGATTCTTCAGGGTGCTCTGTTTGGTTGTCTTCCTTCTTGATCTATATAATCTCCCTGGTTGTCTCATTCAGTCTTACACTTTCAAATGACCTAATTTTTCAAGAAAGATGAAGGGGTCACTAGCACTAAATAGAGCAGAGGTAAAGGAATTTAAGGACTAAAAAGTATCTATTGGATTTAGCACCCAATATTTAAATGGAAATGCATTGGAGTGATGAATGATTAATGTTTTATTTTCAGTACCTTCCACATGGAAGTGTTTCAGAAGAGGGTAGACTTGGATTTGAGCTGGAGAGGAGTGTGAGATCAGGAAGCAGTTGAACTTACCTAAAGAATGGGTAAGTAGCAAGTAGAACTGATGGATTGAGGACAGTCACATGAAGCAGAACAGTGAAAGGCTTTCGGAGTCAAGTTGGACTCTGAATTTGTAGTTACTGGGAGCCCCAGGACTTTTAGAATTCTGTATATGTGACAAGCACCTGGATAAAGTATTAGGTGGGAGAGAGGGGAAGGAATTGATGCTAAAGATACTTTCTAATGAAGCAACAAGACAGAAGCAGATTAAATGGGTTCATAAACAGCCACTATATCACATGACCTTCTTGCTGAGAGGGCTGTTAACAAAAATGGCACTTTTGCTATTATTTTAGGCTTCTGCATTAGTATTTTCCCCAATTAAACTAAGTGCCCTTTTAAACAAAATTCAAGCTCTAAAAAGGAAACAGAACACGAGTTTACATTAAGCAGTGTCAGAAATGTTATTTTTTGAATCCAATTCCAAAGCCATGTGTTTTTTTTTCCCCAGAAGCCACCACTTTACTCGTACTAAATGCCCTGTCAGCATCCTTAAAAAAACCTGAAGAACTAAAGGATTGAGTGCTGAAGGTAAAATGCATCCCTCTTGCTCTGTGGTCCTTCCAACTCAGAAGTGAGAAGGCAAATCTGTAGGTGGGAAAGTATAAATGTGTTTGAGAGCTGTCTGTTTCCTTTGATAGAGACTATCAAAAGTTAGAGCCCCTTTAAGCCATATATTTCTACATTCATTTAAAGGCTCAACAAGGAAGTTTATGTGTTATACACGAGGTATCTGTGCTATTTTTGAAATTCAGGAACTGAACATACTGCAAAGTAATCCCTTGTACCCAATGTAAACATTACAGAGTATGAGCCATCCTGTTAGATTAGACTTGATTAAGACTATGAAAGCCTAGTGCAAGCTGGTAATGTGATAAATGAATGATTAAGCCAGTAGGGCTCTACTTTTATATAAGCAGGAGGTTTTAACATTGTAATGCCTAAAGTCATGGCTTTTGAAGTAAAAAAATGTAGTATCAGGGATGCACAGCTTTCTCTATTCTAAAAGCAACAAGTAGAAGAAAGGGAAAAAAGTCCATTGCCCATTTGTTGGGACAGTGGCACTAAGAGTTAAGAGACAAGGGTACAACAATGCCACTCATTCACGGAGGCACTAAACACAAATCCAGAAATGGCCAAATGAGCTGGCAGGTAAGGTGTACTAGGGCCATCTTATTCTCCATTTCCTAATTCTCCTGTGATATGCTAATTATTCTCCTAATTCAGTCCTCTGAGATGTTGGACTCCTAAATTTCTTATTGGTCTGGAAGGAATACCCTGATGACAAGTTCAAAGATTGGAAGAAGGTATAAGAACATTTTTCACTAGCAAGAAGGGTCAAGATGATTTGTTCAACCAACTCTGACCGATTCTAAAATCCTCTCAGTTCTGAGAAGACCATACTAAGTAGAATCTGGGTCCCTGCCAAGGCCTGATTTCATGATTAACTGGTTCCTATGTAAGGTGGGAAATAAAATAGTTGTCTGAAGTCATATGTGAAAGGTTCATGTTTATTGTGTTAGGCAAGTTCATTTGATCTATGGCCTAGACTCTTGAGTGTGTCCCTTAACAAACAGTTTTTTAGAAAAGATTTTTATTGATTTTTAGAGAGAGAGGAAGGGAGAGAGAGGGAGAAACATCAATGCGAGAGCCTGCAACCTGGGCATGTGACATGACCAGGAATCTAACTGGCAGTCTTTTGGTGCATGGGATAATGCTCAACCAACTGAGCCACAACAGCCAGGGCCCTTGGCAAACAATTTTAATCTCTTAGCACTATAGTGGTGGCTCTCTTAAATAGGCCACCCAGTACCACTAGAACTGTGGGAAAAGCTTTAAGAAGGCTTGGGTTATGTGAAGATGTAGCTTTTGATTATTTAAAGTAAATAAAACCCCAAATAGATCTGGAAAAATGATTGAGTCAATTATTACTGCAGCTACATTTAAACTGAAAAATGGCCACCATATCTTTGAAGATGTTTTTAAGAGTCTAAAGAGAAACCTATTAATTATAAGTAAGACAGCCATCTAGATCATTTCCACATGAACTGCATTGACTGAATAGCTGCAAGTAGTTTGACTCAGTCTCAATATTCCTCTTTGCCCTCACAGTAAGTTGAACCTGACCTCACTGCCTACTGCAGTCCATCAATTGAATAGCTGTAGTTTGAGTGATGTGTGAATAGCTCATAGCAGTAGAGGATCTTTAGCACCAAATTTACATTCTCATGTGCCTCAGGTAGGCTTAGAACACACTATGTTTCTGCCATCATCAGAATGTAAGTCAGTTATGAAAAGGAAAGACTGCAAATGACAGTGTTGAGCAATTTGTGTCAGGTGCCTCTTTCTGTATCAACACACTAGAATCCCTTACTAGATGACATTAAAAATACACTTTATCATTTGTACTGCCACCAGCACACAGAAATCTACTGCTCTGAGCATAAAATTCAGCCTTTCCTAGTAAGAGAAAATTTTCCTGTCTTCAATTTTCTAGTTGAAGCTTCTGTACATACATCTATGAATCACTTGGATATTCTTTTTTTTTTTATTTTGGGAGGATGTTTATTAAAGCTGGGGGCAGTGAAACAAGGAAGGGCCTGGGCTAGAAGAAGCAGCAGGAGAGAGCCCAGGCCGGGCTGTCGTCAGCTCCCTGTAAAGTCAGAGAAAAGAACCCGCCTTGGAGACAGGTTCAGGGGCGAGCCCGGGACGAGCAGCCACTGCCCGTTGCCCCCCTGACTTGGATATTCTTTTGAAAAAGAAAAAGGTATTCCTAGACAAGAAAACACAATGATTTGTGTGGAGAAAAAGCAGAATATTACTTGGATTTGGAGGGAAAAGTGTGCAGCTTTTACAATGTATGATCTCTTTTACTACTGGCATATCTGGTGGAATTGGAGGAGGTACTATTCCCAAGCCAGGCATCATTGGAGTTATTGGTGGAATTCCGGTCATCATTCCAAGAGCAGGATCAAAGTCTAAAAAAGGAGAAGAAAGAAAGAACAATAAATGACACCAGGAAAAGTCAAGTGCACGCAGAATGTTAACTTATAAGCTTCAGACCAAAGATCTCTCTAACACAGAGGCAGAATATTTAAGAAAACATGATATTAGCACCAGATCTTAAATACTGTATTACAGTATACTTGTGCATTTTCCTTTTGGGATGGGACTTTTTGGTTATATTTAATTAGTGCCTATTTGTCTCTAGATCTCATTTTGACATCCAAGGCCTTTAATAATATGACTGTGTCTTGTCTATTGGTCTTGCCTTCCACTGGTTTCCAACACACACCCTCTGCTCCATTCACACAAGGCTTCTTACTGTCCCTTGTAACACTCCCAGGCTTTCTGCAGTACAGCAAGGTGTTAAGAGCACACAGTTTAGGGGATCAGGCAGACCTGGGTCCTAGTTCTACCATATGTTTAGCAGAATGAATAGTTTGAACCTCCATTTCCTCTTTTGCAAAACTGGGTCAATTCTATCTACCTTATAGGGAATTGTGAGAACTAAATAAAATGATGAATGTAATGTGCTTAACATAATGCATAGCACAAAATGCTCAATAAAGAACTATTTTATATGCTTTTCTTCATGTTGATACCCTGTGTCGAATCATTTGAGCCTCCTTAAATTCTACCCATGCCCACAGGCCTGGCTTAAGACTCAATCTCCTTAAATAACCATTTCCAGATAATCTTGGTTCATTTTTAACTCTATGTCTAAAATCTATTTGTTCTACACATGTTGCCACTGAATTTTATTTTATACCATCCTTTGAAAGATGCTCCTAGGATGTATGGGAGTCCCCAATCAAATATTTTTGTGGGACCTGTCTATATACACAATTTGACTCACTCCAAAACAGCATCAACACTATTCTGTTGGCACAATCTCATGTGATACTATTAAAGAAATACCATACCAGGCAGCTGGAGTGATTTACTTGCCAGGCTACTCTCCTGGAACCAAGACTCTGGGAGGACCCCATAGGCATGAATTCTGAGGCTCCTTGGGGGCATCTATATGACTACAAATGTTGGATAGAGGGTTGGAGAGTACCTCCAAGAGGAGGTATGGGAACTGGTGTCTATGTAGGTTCATTTTGAGATTGGGGCTCCTTGCTTAGATGATACTGCAATTCCTGGTCAGTTCTAGGCACTGGAGGGGAACTTAGAAAATTTCAAGAAAGGTGCTTCTTGTTATAAAAAAACAAACAAAAAACAAACAAACAAAAAACCACACAGGACCTGATCTAGACTTGGGGCACTTACCCTGATGGCACTACTTGCCTGGTCAATGCTCAGTACTGGAAGGGGACTTAGGAAATATCAAGACAGGCATTCCAAAGAACGAAGTCCCCTAAGGTGTGGGCCCAGGGCAGGGGCCCCACTTGCCTGGGTTTAAAGGTGGTATTTCACTGTTTACATTTTGTCTCTATATCCAAATGCAAGTTATTCATGAGAAGGGCATGCATTTTACCTCTTTATTGTCCCACCTCTCAACCCTGCCCTCTGCTACAGAATGCACAGTGGACTGCAAACTATTACATAGTGTAGGGGCAGTTGCATTAGCAGTAGTAGGTCCCATGCCTAAAAACTTGACTATGCTCAACACACAGGTCTGAGGAGCAATGCCTGTAAGCATGACCCTAAGGTGGCTCTGAATCCCTGGGTGCCTTTCTAAGATTTTGAAGGAAGTAGATCTAAGCAGTGGGAAGAATCTGTGGTTCTTAAAAAAGCAGAACTTCAGGTACAATGGTCCCAATGTGAGGGAGTCTTGTGATTAGACAGATAGGAGGTAGGGAGTGACACATGGGCATCCCCCATTGCAAGCCAGCCCAAGAGAGTTTAGGCATTCCTTACCACTCACATGTATGCCATGCTGAGAGGTCAAGACCCTAGACATGTATGGTATGCAAAATTTTTCTTCTAAGAGTAAATATTATTTTTCTGAAAACAAATTTACTTTTAGCCCTCATATGTCACCTCACCCAACATACATATGTGTACACACACACTCCTTCCCTTCTTCCCTGTGGCTCTCATATCCCTACTTTCCTCCACATACTAGTTATGTGACCTTGAGGCAGGTTTCCTAATATCTGTGTGCCTCCATTTCCTTTTTTTTTTGTAAAAGTGGGGATAAATAATGAGTTTTATCTCAAAGAATAAAAGGACAGAACAGATAAGAAAACTTCTGGCATGATAGGTGTTAGTCCTCATAGGTAACTTTCCTTCTTGTCATTCAAAAAATGCATATATACACTAATAAATTCACTTATCCAGGCATTCATTCCCACAGTCCTCAAACATTTGTGATAGCCCATATTTCAGGCTCTAGGCCAATGGAGATGGGGGTTCAGGTCTTCTTTTTCATTTTGGAGAACTTAAGGCCCCTGATACTCTATTCCTGTGCTATGGAATATGAACGCTAAAAATTTCATTCATTATGTATAAGATTTTAGAAAAACTGTTAACATTACTTCACCCATTTACAAACTGTTAATTTTCAGTAGGAAAAGATTAGATTACATTGTGTGCCAACTAAACAATCCCATCTATTTTTCCCTCCTACTGAAATGTTTGTCTTCCTTTTATTGTCCTGCCTGCCTCCTCATTGTTATTCATATAGCTCTGTCACTCACAGCTCTACCTTACCACAGATTACAGAAACATCAGTTCATTAAACAAGTTCTGCCACTTTGACTGAGAAAGAAATGCCTATCTCCATGTACTGTCTACTAATAAATGGAGACAAACAAAAAACAAATACACAGGATAAATATAACTTCCGACTAATGTACTCACCCCTCTGCTGTTTGGTATGATTACATTAATATTTTATGAAATTCATTTAAAAGCAAATGTATTCATGACATATGGCCAAAGCCAGAGTAGATAAACTCCCCTTCTTCCTTGTGTTCAATATCCCAAGAGTTCCACAGACCACACTGCCTGGCAGGGCTTGCTAGAGGGCAAGTTGTATATGACATTTCAAAAGTTCCTAACACATTACTTATTTTCTTTATTTTCAACCATTAAGCAGCAAAGGATATGTGAATTTCCAATGCCAACTAAGAAAATAACCATTTAAAATCATGGGTCTTTTATAAGCATTGAAAGAACCTGAGAAATCAAAGTAGTCCAACAATTTAAAATACCTTGGGAACAGAACACCAGAGAAATTCTCTTCCTTTTCCAGGTCTCTGACCTGGCTTGAGGAGTACTATCAGCAAGTACTTAGTACTACCACTTATGTAAGGAATTTAATCTTCTGAAGGAGATTTGAAATCACTTTATAAAATGTTGTGGAAAAGGCCAAGATGTATTCCTTCAAATTACAATAAATACCCTGTTTTGTTTTGCTTTTACCATTTCCTTTTCTAGCATCCTTTCCACAATGCTTTCTTGACTCGGCACAGTCATTGGTGGCAGTGTCATAAGATGCTGGTTTGTACTCCCTTTTCTGAATTGTGCACTTCCCCAAATCCCAGCTTACTGGAAATGCTGCAAATGCTGTGTGGTAGTTGGGCTAGCCAGTTCCTCAGAGTTAAAATCATGTAATGTTTCAGTGTAGCCTTAAGTCTTTGTGCTGGCTAGCGACTTGTACTTACTCAGCCTAGAGTTATTACCTGGCAACATTATCAGCCTCCATTCTCTGTACACATCTGAGCTAGGGAATTACAAAGAGTCAAATGTCATTTCTATGCTGCAGTTCAGTCATCCATTTGTTGATCCATTCAATATTTTGATGCCACACTCTCTACCAGGTGTTGGGTTTGGAGAAATGAGTAAGACAAAATCCTTGACCTCATAGTTTAGTTTGGAAAAAGTCAAGCAAACAGTTGCAATGTTGTATCATCAATAAATATCATCAATATAATTGTTTATTGGGTGCTTACAAGGTGCTAAGCATTTTGTATAATCTCACTCCAAAAGACCTGTGAGCTAGGTATTCTTCTTTTTTTCATTTTATAGATAAAGAAACATGGGCTCAGAGGGGTTTAGTTACTTGCCCAAGGTTTCAGACAGTAAGGGGCAGACCAAGGATTCAAAGTCAGGTTAGTCTAACTCTGATGCTCTTAACCACTGCAATGCCACTCAGTGTACTATGACAATTGTTTTAATAAATTAATTTAATTGCAGGTATAAGGTGAAGCAGATGTGCTGAAAAAACATGGCAGATGAGTAATAAAATACTTCTATATAATTAATTTCCCTAGAGCCACTGTATTGAGCAATTGTTGTCATTGTACTATTGATCTGTGGACTGGCCAGTTGGAACAATGCCAGATGATTGACACTGTACTAGATGTATAAAGGTTACTGATGTCTATAAAACACTAGTGACCCTAGAGGTTGCCCATTTTTGATGCTTGACAATGATAAGAGACAGGCTAGTTTTGTAGTCCAACCCTTGATATTTTCTGGCAGGCCAGTTCACTCTGGCTTTCTTCTTGTAGAGAGCAACCTCCTCTTTTGTGGTAGGGGTGGGGGATGGTATCCACAATTTTGCTACCCATTAATTGAGTGTGTATGAATTTATTACACTGCTTTGATTTTTCAGAACTAGACCCTGAAGGCCCTCCATACCCTCAGAAAAGCTCTGCCTGCACTCCTCCCCATCCAAGTCTTCCCAGGTCCATAATGGCATTTCTAACATTTTTGGTATTCCAGAGAGCCTTCGAACACCAAGAGGTAGTTTACACTCACAGTAAACCACTGAACTGTAACCATAGATTAATCTAAAATAAGTGTTCTGAATAGGATCTAATTGAGCTATTTTATAAAAATTATGATTTCAATTCAGGTATACATTTCCAAGACATTATTGCTATTTCTTTAGAGTTGCTAAAAAATTCACTGGAAAATTAAAAATTATGCCTGGGTATCGAGATATTTTAACTCACTACAGTCCTGACTGCTTCCTCTCTATGCAGATCCTTAACAAGATTTTCAGGCAGTCAACCTGCAGAGAGAACACAGATTTCTAAGGATAGTTTGGCTGAGCTGCAAGATGACCTTGGACTTATCATCAGCCCTTTTGGAAATAGAGCATAAGTTTCCAAATTTTGCACAATGAGACTCAAAATCTACCAGCAACTATCCTGCTTCTCCAGAAGATCATAAAAACCTTTGTTTCAGACCACCTGAAAAGTTGAGGTAGGACCTGGCTTATGTAACCAGGTGGCAAACTGAGCTTGGGTATGCCCTCAGTAATTATTCCCAATAAAATTTTTTGAGATAAAAATATAAGAATTTATAATGGACCAAACTCTGGACTAATTCGGTGGGGGTGGAGAGAGACTGATCTAAATTACTAGGTGTTTTTAAAAGACAGCAAAGTATTACTATTTTCAAAATATATATTAATTCAAAGTACCTATTAAATGTTAGCACGTAGAGTTCTTGCTAGGATTGTTTACATGAACAGACAAGGAACATGTGTAATTAACAGCATTATTTTGCTACAATGAACTTGGTTCTTAAATTCGGAAGGAGTTCTGCCTTAAATGTCTTTCTCATCTCCCTCTCCTCCCCCAACACTTATCTCTACCTGTCAAATCCTACTTATTTTTCAATGGTCATCTCAGTGTCACTTTGCCTGTGAAAACAACTCACTGGAATTAATTACTCCCTCCTACGTGTTCTCATAATATTGTATCTAGAATTTGATTTTCATATGCTTGCTTATTCTCTCACTCCTCCCCAAACCAAACTTTTATTTTACTATATGCCAGTTTCTGTGCTAGTGACTAAGAACACAGAGATGAAAAAAACAAAACAAAAGAAAACAAAGTTATCATTAACTCCTATGGAAGACCTCACATTACAATGAAGGCTAGAATGCTTGGACCATGAATCTCCTTGGGGCTTGAGGGGGCAGGTGTGGGATGGAGGGGGTCAATGGGTAAAAAAGGGACATATATAATACTTTCAACAATAAAAATAAGTTTTTTTTAAAAAAAGAACTGCCTCCTTAAGAAGTACAATGCTCATAAAAGGGCAGGGTCTTGCTCTGGGAATAAGTTCTATAAGTCCTTATTTTCCAACATGTCTCATTATGGAGGAGGCATAGTCAATACAGTGGAAACACATAATGAGGGACTCTTTTCCTCCTGGGACTTCACAAGCTCCACATTTGAATGCTAAGGATAATTTAATTGAGGGAAAAATAAAGGAAGCAGCACAAAATATTCAAAGGGTACCCCTTAATTGGTCTATCCTTGGGTTTAGCTGGTATGATGGGCAGAACAATGATTCCTAAACAGAAGGCTTAACATTTTTTGGTGCATCTTTCCATGTGAAATCTAACATTAGTCTTATTTGACTAGCTTGGAAAAGGAAACATCCTTTCAGGAAAGAAAGCCAGTAGCCAGAGGAGACCTAATCTGCCATCATTGTGGATTAACTTTATTGAACAGCAGCTATACAAAACACCATTTTCGATGAAAGGAAGCTCCACACCACACCCTAGAGATGGTTTGTCTCTGCTCCCCATTCAATGAATATAATAAGCCAGACATTATTCTGATGACAACTATGAGTCTAAGAGACTCAGCATCCATGTTAATATGGATTTGAGCTCTGGGGGAAGACAAAGAAGCTTATCTATCATTTGTTTTAATCAAGGCCAAAAGACTTATCTATTATTACAGATAGGCCAGAGAAGACATGACAAAGAAAAGTCTACTGGCTCAATAGGAAATCTCCTAAGGGACAGAAAAATAGCTGAATTATGGGGCCATCAATGGTGACCTCAGGGAACAATTCCATGTGGCTCATTGCAGCTTTTCCATTTTAAGGAATTTTGATGGGTAGGAAGAGAATTGGCCAGATGTTTTATCCTGTTCAATTGTTAAAACATTACTTAATAAAGATTGCAGGGACCCTGTTCCCCAGACTTTGGCAAGAAAAAAGTAGGCAATATTGGAGTATGGTGCCAATTTTCCATTTCTTAGAAACCACCACATTTATAGGGATTAGTCATTAGCACTGTCAGACATACACTGTTCTCTTCACCTGCCATTATTCAGTGCTTCTCCAGGGGGGAAAAATGCACTGCTACATTCATTATACTTTACTGTTATTAAGAATACAAATGAGCCATAATTCAACTTTGTGTGAGCTATATATCACATGTGAACTTAAAACATAGACAATTCATTGAGAGACTACTGTGAGCCAGACATCATTCTAAGACTTTACATGTATTAACTCATTAATCCTCATAACAACACTGTGACAAAAGGGCTATTATTATCTCTATTTTATAGATAAGGAAACTGAGACATAGAGAGGTAAGTTCTAAAAGTTACACAGCTACTTAATGGCAAAGCAGGGATTTACTTGAACCTACACAGTATAGATTCAGAGTCCATGTTCTAATCTTGGTAAAACTGTCTTCCTAAAATAATACAGAGAGGAGAAAAATCAGTTCGCACATACCTCAAGTGATTTTATGTGCGGCTTTACAAAGCATGTCTCATTCTAGTCTAGCTATGTTGCCACATGTACTTTTAAGACAAGAAGGACACTACTGAACTAAATATCAATATTTCTAAGACCAGGTTTTCAAGAAGTCAGTAAGTTTTCCTGAAGCATATCATAGCTCAAAGGTCACTGGATCACAAGGTTGAAGGGTACGCTGAGAAGCCATTTCTTCATAGTCCTTAAGAAAACAAGATAACAAAGGGGGCTAGTCACCTACAGCTCATGGTATGAATTATAGTTTGATGAAACAGTTCTTTGCCTCTGCTACATATAGAATCCAAGCTCCTTTTATTTCTCCACCCATTTCTCTTGCACATATTTTTTCTTTATGTTTGGCTGCTTTTATACCAGTTTCAAAGCTTTCAAAGTAATCATGTTTCTTAATTTATTATGAAGATTATTATGTATCATTGTTGCCTATCCTACCTTACCCTCATTATAACCTACAAGAATTCAATATCTAGTCTGGAATTGTGAAGTTATTTTTTGGGGGATGGGAGTTGCTAACTATATAACCAAATGGCACAACAAAGTGGTATCACTCTAGACCTGTTTCTCAGCTTTTCTGTGCTTATGAATAACCTGGCGAGAATATATTAAAATGCAGCTTCTGAGTCAGTATGTCTGGGCTGGGGCCTGAGATTCTGGATTCTCAACAACTCCCAGGTTATGCAGAGCACATTTTGAGTAGCAAGGTCCTAGACTGGCCTCATCCTGTCATGCTTTAAAGTAGGACCGTAGTTAAATGAATCTGGGGAGATTAATATTTAGGATGTTTACAAAGCATGCCAGGTTTCCTGAGATGGTAATTCCCTGATAAATGTCTTCACAAATCCATTTCAATGGTCAATTGCTCTGACAGTCCAGGAATAGTTTTTGTGTGTCTAAACTATAAACCCTTCAGGTAATGGGCATTTTTTTTTTCTGATTTCATCTTTATTGGAGATAGATTTAGGGACACCATGACCATTCTCTTATGGGTTAACTTGTTTAAAAAAATATGAAAAGTTACCAAATGTTTCTTTCCTTCCTTTTAGGAATCTAAAATTTTTGGGATGTCTCAGTCAGTTCTTATTTCAGCTCCATGTTTATTTGCCTCCGCTAAGAAATCCATATATTTAGAGAAGTTGCATAATCCCTTGCCAAATCCTGTTGTTTAAATGTTCAATAAGCATGCCATGCCTCAGATATACCCCCAACTTGCTCATAGGCCAATAGGGAGTACACTAGTAACTACTGGCCACTCAGCCTTGATAAAGCTCATGTTACAAAAAATGCACACTCTAGGCAGAATCTAGTAAATGTCAACATCAAAACAAAGTGTCATACTGTTATATTTATGACCACATGGTCAATAAAAAGAAACACTTGTGAGGTGATTAAAATAGCATACCAGGTAAAATTGGTTGTCCAGCAATTCCCAGTGGTGCCATTCCAAGGTTATTCATTGCTGTGGCCCATGCAGTTGGATCAGACATAGGTAGCGTCATTGCAGTGGAATCCACGTTCACAGTTCTATTATTATCACCTAAAAAGAAATGACAAGCAAAATAATTTGTTGTATTACGGTTTCACTGTCTAGATTACTTATCAATGTATACTCTGGAAAACTGTTTACAGAAATTGATCATGGAAAAATGGTGGGTAAGGCCTTAATTCCAGCTCTTTATAAGAGTTAAAATATGTGATACTCTTTGTAATACTTTAAGCAATAAAACAAAATTAAAAAAAAAAGAGTTAAAACAATGTAGCTTGAACTGGCAGAAGTCCTAGAATCTAAAAACAGTTTACCAGATGGCATTTCAGTGTGTTTCTTTCTCTTTTCTCCTCTCTCCTCTCTTCACTCCCTCTATCCCTCTTTCTCTTTCCTTCTTTCCTCCTGTTTTTTTTCTTCAATAAAGACTTTTTTAAGAGCAGTTTTAGGTTCACAGCGAAATTGAAGGGAAGGTACAGGAATTTCACATAAAACCCCTACTCCCACATATATATATATAACTGTCCCCATTACAACCGATGAACCTATATTGACACATCAAAATTACCCATAAGAACTATAGGGTTCACACTGATGTTGTACATTCTCTGGGTTTGGACAAATGTTCATCATCATAAGTATAATACAGAATATTTTCACTTCCCTAAAAATCCTCTGCTTATCCATTCTTCCCCACCCCGGCAACCATTGATCTTTTTCACTGTCCCCATAGTTTTGCCTTTTCTAGAATGTCATATTGTTGGAATGGTGCAGTATACAGCCTTTCCAGATAGGTTTTTTCAACTTAATAATACACATTTAAGATTCCTCCATGTCTTTTCATGGCTTGATAGCTCATTTCTTTTTAGTGTTGAATAATATTCCATTTCTGGATATATCACATTTTATTTATCCATTAATCTCCTGAAGAACATTGTGGTTGCTTCCAAGTTTTGGCAATTATGAATAAAAATGCTGTAAACATTTGTGTGCATGTTTTTAGGTGGGCATAAATTTTCAACTCCTTTGGGTAAATACTAAGCTGCACAATCACTAGATCTTGTGGTAAGAGCATGTTTAGTTTTATAAAAAACTGTCAGCCTTTCTTCCAAAGTAGCCATACCATTTTGCATTTCCACCAGCAATAAATAAGAATTCCTGAATTCACCAGTATTTAGTGTCAGTGTTCTGAATTTTGGACATTCTTATAGGTATGCAGTGGTAACTCATTTTAATTTGCATTTCCCTGATGATATATGATGTGGAGCATCTTTTCATATGCTTATTTTCTATCTGTATATCTTCTTTGGTGAGGTGTCTATTAAAGTCTTTGGCCAGTTTTTAATCAGGCTGTTTGTTTTTATCGTTGAGTTTTAGGAGTTCTTTGTATAATTTAGATAACAGTCTTTTGTCAGATGTGTATATTGCAAATAATTTCTCCCATTCTGTGGCTTGTTTTTTCATTCTCTTTCATGGAGAAAAATATTTAATTTTGATTAATTCCATCTTATCAATTATTTCTGTGATGGTGTCTCTAAAAAGTCATCACCATATCTATGGCCACCTACATTTTATCCTCTGTTATCTTCCAGGAGTTTCATAATTTTGTGTTTTACATTTAAGTCTTCAATCCACTTTGAATTAATTTTTGTGAAGGGTGTAAGGTCTGTGTCTAAATTATTTTATTTTGCATGTGGATGTCCAGTTGTTCAGTAGTATTTGTTGAAAATACTATTTTTACTTAACTGTATTGCATTTGATCTTTTGTCATAGCTCAGATGACTATTTCTGGAGGTCTGTTTCTGGGTGCTATATTCTGTTCCATTGACCTATTTATTCCTTCACTAATCCCACAATGTCTTGATAAGTGTAACTTTGTAGTAAAATTTGAAGTTCGGTAGTATCTTCAAATTTTGGACATTCTTATAGGAATGGACAGTTTGGACAGTATTCCAAGTTTGTTCTTCTTCAGTACTGTGTTAGCCATTCTGGGTCTTTTGTCCCTCCAAACAAATTTCAGAATCAATTTATTAATATCTACAAATTAACTTGTTTGGATTTTGATTAAAATTATATCGAATCAGTTAGGAAGAAATGACATATTGCCAATATGGAGTCTTCATACCTACGAATATTAAATATCTCTCTGTTTGATTTTCATATGCTTGCTTATTCTCTCACTCCTCCCCAAATCAAACTTTGATTTTACAATATGGCAGTTTCTGTACTAGTGACTAAGAACACAGAGATGAAAACAAACAAAAAAACCTCATTAACTACTATTGAAGAACTCACAATACAATGAGAGACATGGCATATAAACAACCAATACAAATTATTGAATAAGTGCTATAATAAAACTATGAGTAAAGTGCTTTGGGAACAGAGGAGTAATTAAATCTGCTGGAATGGGTTTGAATGTATGTGTTTGGGGTTGGAGGTGGGTAGGTGGAGGAGATGAGGAATGCCAGGAAAGCCTAGACTGGCAAAGAATCATTTGGAATGAATCTTTAAGGAGCAATAGGATTTTCCTCCAGGTAGTGAACATAGGATTAGTGTTGAAGAGCATTTCAGGAAGCAAGAACAACTGAACATTTATCATCAACTGCCTTGAATTATAGTTATTGGATACATGTCTCTCTTCTGCTAGCCTGCCTGCTCCTTTAGATCCTTGTAATTCTTTGTATTTCTGTGGTGTTGATTGTTAATTCTTCTCTTTTGCTTATGATTTTATTTAGATCAAGGACTGGGTATTGGGCATTTTTCTTCTCCCATTTATTGGTTCAGTGTCTGGTATAAAGTAGATAGTCAAGAAATATTTGAATAAATGAATAAAGAAAATCAACATACATTAATTTGGGGCACAATAAGCAATCTATGCAACAAAACCCACTGATTATTTGTGTACCTTTTTATAATGATAAATTGTCTTAAAATGAATGGTATAATTGCTAAACTGATTCTCTCTCTAGGACAACTGAATTTACAGGTAGGAATTTACGTAGAGTCATAACCAGGAATAGATTCACCCAACTAATAATTCAGTTTAATATCATTAGCTATAATATTTTTCTCATAGACATAGTCACACATATAAGCAAACTTTTAAATTTTTACTTTCAAAGAGAAATCCCAGGTGATCATCTCTGGAAGCAATCTAGACTTAAGAAGGTTTGCACTAAGAAAACATGCTATGATAAACATCTGTTTGGAATCATCAATTAAAGATGGAAAAGTTAAGTCCTGGCCTGATTCACTTTCCAGACTAAAAATGGACATCTAGCAATTTATTTAAGTGTTTGATAAAAGTATTTCCATGTCATTAAATGAAGAGATTTCTCTTATTCGCATGAGTTTTACACTCACTGTCAGTAGCCAAGAATATTCAGAAGGCAAGTGCTAGTGGTTGATAAATGGTCTTCAAAATACCTCACTGAAGTCTGAAGAAAATATTCTGCTATCCAGGTTCTCTTATTTCACTTGTGTGGCAACCCCTCAAGAGATTACAGGTTCTAGAGTGGTTGTGAATAAGTGCCTTCTAGGTAAGTTGACTGAAGATATGGCACTTCGGAACAAAAGTTCATTAGCACCAAAATAATAAAAGATGTGGAAATGATCATCCATTTTATGTTGGTATCACTCCATAACTATTAAATCCCTTCCACTCCATTGTTTATGCTTAACTGATTAACTAGGCAATTACTGTCAAAATGATTTGATCTTGAAGAACACACACACACACACACACACACACACACACACACACAATGTTTCCTTTATTTCCTTTGAAACAAGTTTAGACATTTAAACAATATCCTGGGAATTGCCTAGGCGCTTGGGAAAATGAAAATGTATCGATTTTAGAATGGTTAAAAAGTAAATGAATTCTTTAAAAATAATTCTAAATAATACATCAGTCATTTTCAAGACAGTGGCGGAGTCGGTGGATCTTACATTCAACTTCTCCCAGGACCAAATTGGAAATACATCTACATTAAAGAACAATCATCCTGAATAACCAACTAAAGACCAGCTGAACTGTGACTGGGTAGCTCAGATAGAGCATCATCCTGATATGCCAAAGTTGTGGGTTTGATCTCTAGTCTGGGCACATATAAGAAGCAACCAATGAATGCATAAATAAGTGGAACAAAAAATTGATTAGATGTTTCTGCTTCTCTCTATTTCTCAAGTCAATAAATAAAAATTTAAGAGAAAAAAAAGACTAGCTGAAGAGAAGTTTTATAACCAAGGATTTACAGAAGAAGCCACATGGAGATTATCAAGAAGGGCAGAGATGTGAAAAGGGCTGGCCCCACTTCCATGGGAAGCGGCTGAGGTTTCAAAGGGATATCTCACCTATAGGGGAGTTACCTCTGAAAAGTGTGGAGCCTAAACCCCATGTCAGGCTCCCCAGCCAAGAGGACCAGAGCTGGGAAGAGGTGCCTAGATAACATCTGTCTGTAAAAAGCAGTGGAGTTTCTGTCCACTAAGGATACATGGAATCCACTGGAGACACATGCATCCTCTTGAAGGGCCAATGTAAAAAATCTCCTTCACAGTCACTCACTCTGGACTCCGGCAGAGAGAGGGTGGTGTGGACTAGAATTACCTGAGGACAGTCTAAAAGAGCTATATGAAATGGAGGCAAATGATTTATCAGATATGCAGTTCAAATTAATGGTAATAAGGATGCTCATGCAACTTAGTGAGAACTACAACAACATGAAAAATTACATGGAAACCATGATAAAGAACCAGTCAGAAATGAAGAACACCATATGTGACAATAATACACATGAAGGAATGAAAAGTAGCTTGGATGAAGCAGAGGATCTAATCAGTGATTTGGAAGACTAGATAGGAAGAAAACCACCCAATCAGTGCAGCAAAAAGAAAATAAGGATGGAAAAGAATGAGGACAGTTTAAGGGCATTTTGGGACAACATGAGACTTAACAATATCCACATAATAGGGTTACCAGAAGGAGAAGAGAGAGAGAACAAGGGATCAAGAATTTATTTGAAGAAATAATGACTGAAAACTTTCCTAGC